TGGTTGGATACTACAACGGCAAGAAATAGGGTTTTGCTAAAAAAAAAAGACCATGAAAAAATATCCACTAGTAGACAATGACTCAGAGTGCATTTGTTAAAGGTACACAAATTTTAGATGTAGTGTTGGTGGCTAATGAGGTGGTGAATGATGTTTAGCGGAGGGACAATAAAGGAATTTTGTTCAAAGTGGATTTTGAGAAGGTGTATAATTGGGTAAATTGGTTGGTTGGTGTGATGAGATAGATAGGATTTGGGGAGAACAATGTTATTTAAGGCGTAAAGTGAATCGAAGTGACCAAGATTCCTAAAGTCTAAGCAAGAGGCGAAGTGAAACGCTTCATCAAAACAAAGCGAACAGTTAATAAAAAAAGTAAATATTTTTGTTTAATTACTTCTAAATATTTAAGTTCTAATTTTATAAATATTAAATATTTAAATACAAGTAAAACCATAAACATTTAAATTCAAGTTCAAATGCATTACAAAAAAATCAGGATTATAGAAAATCAGCATTCATCATTATAGAAAAACAACATTCAGCATTACAGAAAATCAGCATTCAGGATTATATAAAAGCAACATTCAGCATTACAGAAAATCAGAATCAATAGAAATAGAAATAGAAATAAGCTATATAAAATTTGCAGTATATAATTAGCAGAAATAAGCAGTGTAGAAAATAAGCAAAACTATTACAAAAATCAGCGTTAAGCATTACAGAAAATCAGCATAAGCCAAAAAAAAAAAAAAGCAGAATGAGCAAAATAATCATTTACAAAAAATCAGCATCAAACAGAGAGAAGGAGAAGCAAAATCAAAAGCAAAAGAAGAGAAGAAGCAGAAAAAGAGAAGAAGAAGAAGAAGAAGAAGTAGAGGAAGAGAAACAGGAACAGAGAAGCAGAACCAGAAGAAGAAAAAGAAGCACATAAGAAGAACCAGAACCAAAAGCAAAAGAAGAGAAGAAAAATAGAGGATGCAGAACCAGAAGAAGAAGAATCATCAGAGGAGAGGAGAGGAGAGGAGGGGAGAGGAGAGTACCTTTGTTGTCGAAGTAAAAACATGAGAAACAGTAGTAGAAGCAGGAGAATCAGTAGTACCTAAGTGTAGTGTTTTTTTGTCGAAGAAGAAGACTGAGCAACAAATACAAAGTTGTGGAGTTAGAAGAAGAAGGTTTAAAAGAAGAGGAGAAATAGAGAAGAAGAGAGAAGAAAAAGAGAAGGAGACAAACTTGTGGAGTGTGGACTAGCGAGGAAGGAGCAACATCAGTCCTATGACCTTTTAGGCAAAATTAGGATTTGGATGTTGTATATATTGGGATAAGGGGGCAATGGGGTGTATGGGTATCTCTTAATTTTGTTCCAATTGCCCCAATCCGCCTCGCTTCGCTTCTCGCCTAGGCAAGCTTTTCATAACACTGAGGGAGAGATGGAGAAAGTGGATTAGATGGTGTTGGTGACTGGTGAACCTAAAGAGTGATTTAATGCTTCCAGGGTTTATGGCAAAGGGACTCATTATCCTCCCCTTTTTTTTTTCACCTTGGTGGTTGATGTTTCGAGTAGAATGTTTTATAGAACTGAAGAGGAGGGTTTAGTTTAGAGGACGACAAGGGGGGGTGAGTGTGTCACATGACATTGTATTTAGGTTTCTAATGATACTTCGAGTTCTCTAGTAGACTAGTACGTCAGACTTCTACCATTGGTCTAGTTGAATCTACTACTCATTTCCACGATGATCTTTCCTCTTAGCTTTGTCAACTCATCTAATAGTTATCTCTACTTTGTACACATTTATCTTTTTTTACTATCAGTTTTGTTAATTGTGGTAACTCTAGATGTGTAACTGCTCAACCTTCCTCGTCTTCTTGAATTATTGCTTTAGGGGGTAGTGCTCATATATCTTATATTTCTTTCATATTTTCTAATTTTCGTTCGTTTAACTATGTATTGTGTTAGCTGATGGTTTTTTTCGACCAATACATGGGACTGACGATCTCTGTCCTACTCAGTCTATGCCATTAATCTCTCATTTGTTTGTTTCTAATTTTTCCTTTAATTTTTGGATCTCAAAAAGAAGGTGATTGGTTGGGGTATGAGCGCAATGACCTTTGCTATTTAGATCCAAGTGATTATGTTCCCGCCTTGAGTACTTTCGTGTCACCTCTTCAGCGGCACTTCTAATTGGGTTATCATTCCTTGCAAAAGTTGCATCAAATTACTCCTAATTTGAGTTCTTCTTCTATGTTAGAATGTGAGGCCTGTCAATTATGTAAGCATTATTGTAGTTCATTTCCTCCTAGTTCTTCAAATAGTCAATCTAGTCCTTTCCATATTATTCATTCAGACATTTAGGGTCCTGCAAGAGTCGAGAGTATTTCTAGTTTCATTGTTTTGTAATCATTGTTAATGATTTCTCTCATATGACTTGGTTATTTCTTATGAAAGCCTGATTTGAACTGTCCAAGGTCTTTAACACTTTTTACAATGAAATTCTAGTTCAGTTTTATATGTGTATTAAAGTTCTTCGGTCTGACAATGCCTTTCAGTATACTCAGTAGTTGTTAAAACCTTTTGTGCTGACCGTGACATTATCTATTAAACCACTGTCTATATACCTCCCAATAAAATGGCATTGTTGAACATATACATCATCATTTGTTAGATGTTGCCCGCACCTCTATGTTTGACATGCATGTGCCAAAACCATAATGAGCTTATACTGTTTTTACTTTAATTTATTTTATTACTCACATGCTTTCCCTCATGTTGAACTACCAGTCTCCTTTCTCTCTGTTGCATCGACTTTCTTCATTTTTTCGTTGTTTTGCATCGACTCTAACTTCTGTGTTTGTTACTAGCTCCTTGAAAAAAACATTGACATCTCCTGGTTGAAAATTGACTATAGATGAGGAAATGAAAGCTCTTCATAAGAATCAAATATGGGACCTTACTCCTCCCCCTCCTCGAAAGAAGCCTGCCAGTTGTCGTTGGATCTACACTAGGAAGTATCATCTCGATGGTTCAATTGAGTGTTTGAAGGCACGTATGGTTGTCAAAGGTTATACCTAGACATATGGTGTGGATTACTGTGGGACTTTTTCCCCAGTTCCTTGTCTTAACTTTGTTGGAGTTCTTATTTCTGTTACAGTTAGTTGTGATTGATTTTTGTATCAACTGGACATCAAGAATACTTTTTTACATAGAGACATACAGAAGGATGTATATATTGTACAACCTTCAAGTTATAATGCATCTGGTAAAGAACAATTAATGTGTCATCTGAAGAAAATACTATATGTATTGAAACAATCACCACATGCTTGGTTTGATAAGTTTAGCACTGTGGTACTTTAGTAGGGTTTTCAACGTTCTACTTCAGACCATTCAATTTTTTTTCCGTCTTTCTTTCACAAGGGTTATTATTGATATTGTGAATGTTGATGACATTATCATTAGTGGTAATGAGGTAGATGGTATTGCCCACTTCAAGGTCCAATTAGGGACATAGATTCATACTAAAGATTTAGATTTTTTTTTTGGGATCGAGGTTGCTCGGTTGAAAGAAATGGAAGTACGTATTGGATTTATTATTCGAGATTGAGACTCTTAGTTTACGTCCTATTGATACTCTTTTGGACTCTACAGTTAAATTAGATGTCGAGAGTGATGAAATTTTTGATGATGTAGGACACTATCGGAGGTTAGTTGATAAGTAGATTTATCTTGTATTTACACATCTTGATATTACTTATGCTGTTTTAGTTAGTTATACACACTCCTCGTAAGTGCTATCGGGAGATTGTCTGCCATATTCTTTGGTTTCTAAAAGGAACATCTGGAAAAGGATTATTATATCTTCTTTTATCATCCATTATTGTTACTGGCTTCTCTGATGTCGTCTGGGCAGGTAGTTGTATTAATAGACAATTTACCTCATGTTACGTACATTTATCGGTGGTAATCTTGTTAATTGGCGTAGCAAGAATCGAGGATAAATACATGGCTATGGCCCATACTAGATATGAGATGTTGTGGCTTTGTTTTCTCCTTCATGATATGAGGATCAATGTGCCTTGTCATATAGAGATGCATTGTGACAAGAAGACAACTATTTTCATTGCTAGTAATCCAATATTTCACGAGAAAACCAAATACATTGAAGTGGATTGTCATTTTATTTGAGATCTCTTGATGCATAAGGAGATTATCGTGCCGTACATCAAGTCTAATGATCAGCTAGGTGACACTTTTAACAAACCATTAGCTCAATCTATCTTCAACAATCTTTGTACTAAGTTAGACATCTTTAACTTATATGCTCCAGTTTGAGGGAGAGTGTTCGAGTTCTTATTTTATTTTATTTTATGTTTTGAGTAGTGAAGGGTGGGATTGTAATTCTCATTATATTAGTTTAGTGTAAATAAGAGAGTGTATTGCAACCTGACCAACACACATATTATTCTTCCCTTTTTTTCTCTTTCTTTCACTTTCTCTTCTTCTCCGTTCAAACCATAGGATTTACTACGTTAACTATTGTCAATTGGCGTAATTCCAAATATTCTATTCCACCATTCATGTTGCATATCTTTTGTATCAGCAAGCCAATTCATGAATTATTGGTTATAGTGAAGATGCCTGAATATTAACATACTCAACTCAATGAAGCCTTGTCCTAACATTTTTAGGGTAGCCTGGATATTAACATATAATGTCAAATTCATATTGTATTGCTAGTTAGATTTCCTTAGCCGTAGTTTTTATGAGAGGAATGTGTGTTAGGGATGAAAACCTTCATCCATTGGCACTTAAGTTATTCTTAAAATGCTTCAACTAAAGAGAAATTGCCTTTTACTTAATTAGAGTATTAGTATGAAATTATTGCACTCATAAAAATATTTCTTTCCGTTCTTTGATATTCCTTTGTTTGTGTCTCATTTTTCTTTATTTATGTTCATCAACTGTTTTCCACAGTGATTGGAACCCCCATGCTGATTTGCAAGCCATGGCTAGAGCGCATCGACTCGGGCAAACAAATACGGTTTTAATAATGTCTTGGCAGGTTATTGTTGATTACTTTGCATGGGTGTGTAGTTTTGCTTATTTATTTTGATATTCCAGGTTATGATTTATAGACTCATAGCACGAGGATCCATTGAAGAAAGGATGATGCAGATGACTAAGAAGAAAATGGTTCTAGAACATCTAGTTGTTGGGAGGCTGAAGGCACAAAACATTAACCAGGTATAGATTTTTTCGTCTTGAAGTTACAAATAATAAATTTCGGATGTCTGAAACCATAATGATATAATCAGATATACCAGAAAGAAAACAAAATATTTAGCTGCTTTAATAAACTAGGTTAGTTATCCCAATTATTTGACAATCTTGTCCCTGCTTTCTTTCCATTTGTGCATCTCCGACTATGTCCTTTGCGGAATTCATGCAGCCAATTCACTGTTGCTTTCTAAATTTTAAAATTTAATTCATATCAATAACTTCGTTCAATGATTAAAATTTTGTTTCGAAGCAGTTGAAACCTTTCCGTTCAAGGAGACCAAAATAAATTAGTGATTAAATCAAAACTTCAATGCTTCACGGTGTTTTGAGATGTTTCAGCATGTTTCTACCACTGTTTCGAGGTGTTTCAAGATGTTTCAATTTATTTTGATCAATGTTTTAGAATGTTTTTGGAGATAAATGTTTAGATTTTTTATTTGTTCTCATTCTATTTTCCATTCCGTTTCTTCGGTGGTGAAATAATGCACCAAACCGAAATTTTGATCCACAACTTCGTTACATACTCTCCAACAAAAAAAATCAGTTATTGGGCCATAGGATTATCAATCACAGGTATTAATTTGTTTTAAGTTCAGACAGAATTTTAACATTTGTGATTTTCTGAAAATAAAGTCATTATATTATATAATAAGGTCTTGATTTAGGCAAATTGATGTTTCAATTATATATTTCTTTTTCTTTTGTTGTTCAGATCATTTTATGTGTGTGTGTGTGCAAGCGCAGGTGGGAGGGGTAGGCTTTTACGAACATCAGATATATGTTTTGTAAGAATGTGCCTTTGCAGATGACGTGGAGCAAAAAAGCACGAAAACGAGAAAATTGAAAATTTTGTGTGGCACATTTTTGAGACATTGTGTGGTCATGGTTAGGGTTGAATTGAATCTTTTGCTATTTCTTAGTTTTAAGTTAACAAGGTGTTGTAATCATTTTGTTTATGTCAGATCTTAGTTGTTGAGGGTTGTTGCCTGAGGTTGATTTTTGCTGAACATGGCTGTATTTGTGATCCTTGAGCCTTAATTTTGGTTCTGTTATGTTATTTGGGCTCTTATGCATTCCAGAGTTTCTTTAGAGTCAAAGATTACTTGTTTTTTTTTTTTGGATTTATCATCCTGAAAGATTAAGAAAAATCTAGTAGCTAAATATTCCGAAAAGCTACTAATGCAATAACAGAAACATGAATGGTGTTTCGAGAATGTGTGAAACTTTTGAAGGTTGTATGATGCAGTATGCATTCTTGCAAACTTTGCTTTAGGGGTTTATCCATAGGGAACTTCAGGTTTGTTTTTTTTTTTTTTTTTTTTTTGAAGTTTTGTGTGGTTCTATATTTAGTTTTGCCCTCAGGAGTGATAATTATGGAATTCCAGGTTGGGGTTCCTAGATGTTCTTCTTGCTAGTCATATTCGTTCTCTTTATTACTCCATTTCATACATGCCTATCAGACCTTGCTAGTTGCTAACCCTAAAGTTAATTTTTTAGCCAAACATTTTTCCCCCACAAAAATAACCTCCAGTACCAGCCTTTGACTCCTCTTCAGTGATGGTGAAGAGAATTTCAAGGCCTTTGTAGGTTTGCACTCCTCACGTCCTAGAGAAACTTTCACGAGTGAAGTTGAAACAAGTCCTAACATGGTGGTAGAACACTTGGAAGAAGAAATCCCCACGTGTTGAAATAATTGAATTTGAAAACATAGTTGATTTGTAAACATCTTTGATTAACCATAGACAATTAAATTATATTTACCCCTAGAGTGTAATATAAAATTTACCTTAGATCCACATCATGTAACCAGTTCTTCTCAAAAGCTCCTGATAGATTAAATCATTCAACGATACACCCAGCACCAATAACTTAGAATCATGAAAATTCAGGGTTCCTAGATTTTCTTCTTGCTTCATTCTCTTTCTTACTCCACTTCATACATGCCTGTCAGACCTTGTTAGTTGCTAACCCTAAAGTTAATTTTTAAATGAAACATTTTTCCTGCACAAAAGATAACCTCCAGTACCAGCCTTTTCCTATTCTCAGGCAGCTGTTTATGCCCCCAAATCAGTTTCTTTTTAGCCTTGGAACCTTTTCATATCCTGTTGTGGTCTGTCGGAACCCATTACTCTATTCTTCATATTTGAGATTACAAATAAACACCAGAAACTTTAATTTGCATTCTGTCCATAATTTCCAAGAGTCTTAATTCTAAAAGTCCCACAACCAAACATTTACTAAACAAGACATTTTCAACTCTCTATCATGCACAAATCATATTAGTTTCCTTTGATCTTGTAATTCCTTAATTATATAAGCTTTCCAACCAAAACTCCCCACAAAACCTGTTGAAAGTGGCATCATCTTCAATTTTCTGAAGTAGTCCTACAAAAGAGGGAAACATAACACTAGTATGAGATTGATCTCGATTTGCAACTCTAAGCTAGAGTATGTATGTTTCAAGTAAAAGTTGGTATTCAAAAATGATGAAGGTGTGGTGACCTAAGATCAAAGAGTCCATGACTTCTGAGGTTTGGGGCCAAGATGGATGAGGTGAGTTGAGGTAATGCTGTAATGGCGCTAAGTCCATATTGCTTGGCAAAGTGTATCTAAGATGCTTTACAAGTGTGAGTCTTGGATATTCATTGTCAAAGGCATTTTAAACTTGTGCGGGTCTAGCCAAACCAAACAATATTGTATGTTGCCAGTTCAGAACATTATAATTGGTATCAAAGCTAAGGAGAGCTAAGGTGAGGTGAGAGTACAAAGTCCATATTCATAGTTTCATATCACTTGGTGAAGTGTATGTGAGGTCATTATAACAATCAGTTTTGGACACCATTGGACAACAAGTCTTAAAATCTTGCATGCCAAGCACAAAGCATATAATATTGTAAAATGTGTGTCTAAGGCATTATAGGATGTCCTATTTAGAGCATGGTTCAAGGGCGCGATGTTAGCTATCGCCAGGGAAGGCATTAAAACAAATAAATCATGATGTCATAGAACGATATTGAGTGGTACAAACGAAATGCCACATAGAAAAAAAGTTAAACATGATGAGAGACTATATTGCGGTGTCGTGGAATGGTATAAGCTGATGTGGTGACTATTTATTCTATGACTTGGGATTATCTTGGGGACGTCATGGATGACGCGACCAAGTTGTGTCAGACTTGTGGTTTGTATGGAATATGGAAGGTGTTATTTTATGTTTTATTTTTTATTTTGAGGGTATTTTTGTACACACTATCCTTTACATAAGATTTTTTTTTCATTCCTAAACCATAGAACTCTACAAACTGACTTGGTATTAAAGTTTCGATTGAACCTTAATATATAAAAGACGTGTCGAAACAAGCAGAATTTGTGAGGCAGTTTTCACGATTTGTTGGCGTCAACATCAGATGTGTTGACGTTAGCGACGACTTGATTGGATCACGTTGACAACTACATGGATTGATTCGGCCCAGGAATTATGGTGATTTTCCTTTATTTTTTTGCAATCGTTTGATCAAAATTTTCTATTTTATAAGGATTTTCACACTTGTTACCTTCAAAGCTGAAATCTGGCATTTTTGGCCTTTTTTCTTATTTTTTTTGGTGCAATTCTTCGCAATGACTTGCATCTAGGGCTATGTAACAATGCCCAATAGGTTTGGTGTTGGTTTGATTGGATTTCACTCAATTGTTTGCAAGATTGGATTGCCAGCTGTGGGCTAGTGGCAGTTATATCTAATCTTCAGCTTGTTTGTTTTGGGTACTTGGCTACTTGCTTCTTCTGTGCTTTTCTAGTCTGTTGACATGTCTGATGATGGTGTGACTTCTATCGACGCTAGAGGGGGTGGGTTTAGCCGTCCAGGGTCTCTTCTAAATAACCCATCACTTCCTATTAGCCTATAGAAGTTAGATGGAAACAATTACTTAGCATGGCTACGGGCTTGTTTGTTATCGGTCCAAGCTATTTCTTTGGATGAAAATTTAACTGGGAAGATTGAGAAGCCTATCGAATCAGGTTCTTCCCTTAGCAATGGACATCTGACAATGCCTTAATTATGTCAAGGTTGCTTAATTCTATGCAACGTTCCAATAGTCAAGGTTTTTGTTACTTGATACAACTTATTAGGTTTGGACTGCGATGACCCAAACATATCCTCGGAAGGGTAATGATACTGAAGCTTATGATCTACGAAAGACAGATCGCGAGACCAACCAAAGGGATAACTCTCTTTCTATCTCTTATGCAGAGTTGACCACCCTATGACACCCTATGGCAGGAACTTGACTACTAACATAGTTTTCAAGCTACGTGTGCTACAGATGCAACAAAGTTTCTGTAGATGGTTGAGAAGGAAGGTGTCTACGTTCTTTATGCTGGTTTTAACATAGAGTATGATCAAGTTTGGGTACAAATATTTGGTCATAGTCCATTTCCTACCTTGCTAGAGGTTTATGTCTATGTCCAACCGGAAGAGAGCAGAAGGATTGCTCTGGTTCATACTCCCTTTCAGGAGCAATCTGCTTTAATTGCTATTCCCCAACGTGATCTGAAATTAACCTAGTGCAAGTGTACTTGTTGACAAGAATACATTGACGTGTGATCACTATTGGAAGACTTGGCATACTAGAGAGTTTTGTTGTAAACTGAATGGACATCCCACTGGTGGGCGTGGTGGTGGTTGAGGTGGTATTGTGCGGTCTCAAGCCCGTTTGACTGAGTCTTCTGAGACTCCATCTCAGTCAACTGGCAACGCATGTACTAATTTTTCTCATGATGAGATGCAGGCTCTTAGGTGTCTGATGGCTCGACTTGATGTTTCATCTACTTTTGCTTCTAATTTTGCTTAGTCTACCAACTTTACTTAAGCAGGTATATTTGTTAGCGCATTTAGTATTTCATCCTCATTACCCCTTGGATAATAGATTCTGAAGGCACTGACCGCATGACAAGTTCCTCCGGTCTTTTCTATTCATATTCCACATGTTCTGGTAGGGATAAAGTAAGAATGGGAGATGGATCTTTGTCATCTGTTTCTTGGAAAGGTTCAATTAATTGCTATTCATCCCTATCCCTTTCATCTGTCCTTCATGTCCCCACTTTTTTCTACTAATTTATTGTTTGTTAGTATTATTACTAACTTTTTGAATTGTTCAGTGGCATTTTTTCCTACTCTATGTATCTTTCAAGAATGGGAGTCGGGGAAAACAATTGGTAATGGTAGAACACATGGTAGTTTATATTTATTGGATCATTCAAGGCTGTTGGTGTTGTATCTGATCTCACGATGTTACATGTCATGCAGTGCAGGATATTTTGCATTGTGGAACAGGAATATTATGCCGTATGAAACAGTTTAGAATGTGGTACACTAAACTTAGGCTGATGCTAATCACATAGTTTGGATATGTATTGAAGTCATTCTAAATATGTGAGGTTTTCTTTTGGAAGTAATATTTATGTACTAGAAATAGAATACCCAAATTCCTTGCCACCAAATTTGTTTTCTATTTTTAATATTCATGTCCATAGAATTGGACCATCACGTTCAAAAAAAAAAAAGAATTGGACCACGGCCCCCAAATGTAATTTTTGGAACGAAAGTGTAGCCTAAAATGGTTATTGTGAGATTTGCTGGGATATTTAGTGTTTGCTAACTTTTATCTTACATATGGGAATTCTCTTCTCTTAGTTTTGGCACTGTGATACTGATATGGACTTGTGCAATTGATGCTTTGTAATTACTGAAGAGACTCTATTTGAAAAAAAGGGAAATTGCTTTAATAGTGAGATTATGTAGTGCTGATATCCATTTCCCAGTATGAGTTGCTGCATGATAATATGAGTTGCATGGATGCATTTCCTTTGGGTATATGGGCTGACTTTACAGTGGTGCAATTTGTAGTGTTTATGTTGTCTATGGTTGCTTTGCGTATTTCTTCCCTATATTTGTTTTTTGTGATCCATTGTGATTAAATGTAAGTTGTGCTCTTGCATATTGCGCTTCAAAAAAGCAAATTCTTTCAAATTTCTGGAATTTGCCTGCGTAAGTTGATGAAAACTTCATATGAATTTAATTTGGATGTAGGAAGAATTGGATGACATCATAAGGTATGGTTCAAAAGAGTTATTTGCTGATGAGAATGATGAAGCAGGAAAATCCCGACAAATACATTACGATGATGCTGCAATAGACAGGTAAATTGTGTTTTCTGTCAAATTTTATCTTTAATGATATCCAAATATCTTCCTTAAACTTTTCTATGTTAGATTACTTAACCGGGAGCAAGTTGGGGATGAAGAGGCTACACTGGATGATGAAGAAGAGGACGGATTTTTGAAAGCCTTTAAGGTTTATCTTTCTCTTTATTTTTTGTCTAAATATATTCTTATTAATATGCTGGCTGATTTCTTGCACTGGTGCATACTTTATCGTGTTTTGTAATAAGATACTACTTTTCTTATCTCATGTTATTTTATCATTCACACCAAATTAACAGGCTTTTATGTGGAATACACATTTTTTTCTCGTGATCAGATATTTCATTGAAGAATACGCCCTTTGATTTTTTTTATTTTTTCATTTGTCACTATGCAGAATTGATTCGTTTTTCGTTTGATCCTTTCTTTCTTCATGTAACTCGGTAAGGGCATTCATCATATTCCGTGTCGTCCATTCCACAACTTCGACTTGGTGGCTTGATTGCCTTAGGAAATGTTCCTTTTTCTCGTTTCCTTTCGTCTTCATTTATAGGCTGGAGTTACTCTCTTGCTTTTGGTGAATGTTGAATTTCTTGCTCTTCTTTTCTAGTTGTACTACTTGGGCTGCATCTGCATGCTGTTTTGTATTGGTCACCTGAGAAATGGAAACATTTTAAAAACATTTTTAGAACAAAATGTTAATAAATTACAAATTTGGGAATTCATTTCCAAAACATTTTGAAACATTGGTCAAATATACCAAAATATCTCTGTTAGATATATATTTGTGGAAAAACTAGAAAGAATAGAATAAGAAATGACCATATTCGAGAAATGGTAGGAGTAGTTCCAATTGAGGATAAGTTAAGAGAAAATAGATTTAGATGTTTTGGTTATGTTCAACGGAGGCTAATAGAGGCACCGCTTCGAAAAAGTAAGAGAATTTTTCTTAATGGTACTAGAAATAGGGGTAGACCTACATTAATATTGAATGAAATAATAAGAAAAAATATGAAAATATTTAATTTAAATGAGCATATAGCGTATGATCGAAATGAATGACGAATACGGATTTATATAGCCGACCCCAAATGATTAGGATATAAGGCTTAATTTGGTTTGGTTAGATATGTATTTGTAATTGACTAATTTCGTGGAGTAAATTGTAAATCTTAACTTATTCCATGATTATGATGCTATAAAGATTGAAGATCCGAAAGTATCATTGAAGGGTGGAGATCAAGTATCAAAGTTACATCATTTACACTCTAGTTGTACTTTCAAGCTTAGGACAAAAGTAATGACCTAGATATCTAAAATGATCACTTGGTTTAATAGAGTTAGGAAGATTTGAGTTAAAATTGAATTAGGGATTAAACTGTGTATGGCTCTTCGGTGATTTTAAATGAAAAGATTTTTTTAATCGTTTTGTATTTTGAAAACATAGTTTGAACCATTAGCGAACCCCTCTTGAGCAATACACTTTAGTGCTTAAGCGAATACGTTTTATGTTTGGTTTTAGACTTATAAAATTAGTAGGGACCGCTCTATGCTCGCTAACCTACACTAGAGCGGTCTTTTTATGACTTAAGGAAGAGAAGTGGGAAAAGAGCATGGAAGGAGAAATATAGCTCGCTCGAGCGGCCTTGATTTGGTCTCATGATCGTTCGAGTGGTCTACCCTCGTTGGCTAGGATTGAAATTCAATTTTTATTCTCCTGACCACCACTCTATGACTGCTCTTCCACCGATCGAGTGGTCATTTGTGAATTTGAATTTTCTTGTTGACCAAGATTACCTTTATTCCGGACTTATAAATAGGGATTCTTTTTTTTCAGCTAGGGTAAGCCTCTTGTAAGTCTTTTGAGAGTAAAAACTCATCTTCTACCTGGAGAGCTTCTACCATAACTCTAAAATCTAAAGCTACCTTCTAGAGATTTTACCCAAATTCACAAATTGGAGTGAAGATATTGATTAGTAAACCAAATTCATTGGTGTGTGCATACCGGGGATCATTGGCGTGCCCATGATTGCTCGAGGCCTAGAGGATTCTTGCGGAGATGAATTTAAGTGAAGTTACACAAGAAATCAAATGAGGGCTTTTAGCGGAGAGACATATTGATGGAAGGGAGCATGTAACTGTAATATTGGTTGAGATATAAGACTCAGTCCTTATATGTTGACTTTAAGAATAGTGGATTAGACTTTAGTAAACCTTGATTGGTTTTCGGTGATTTTTCTCGACGGTGATTTTTCGTGTAAATAAATCACTTATGTTATTTATTGTTTAAGCATATACACTTGTGATTGTTTGCACCACGTGTACTATGTGTTTGTATGAATGATTTATTGACATTTTTTTATCCATAGTTGCGTTTGAGTTTTAGATTATTAGGTCGGCGTGAGATTGAGTGTTTGAGTGAATTAATTGAACAATTAATTAACATTAATCTTCATGGGTCTGTTGGGTTGCGGTGATTAAAAAGGATTCCCACACTAAATTGCTATATCTTTGTGTGAAGTGGTAATTGAAGTAGAGTTAAGTTTTAATTTGTAATCAATTGTGCTTAAAATTGAAAAACCTATTCACCCCCTAGGTAGTGTTATGCGTTCCACGTTTATAATCGTGAGGGAATATCCACTTTGTTTCTCCCCCTCCCAAAGCAACTATCTCGAAACTTTGGTGGAAATATGTTGAAATATCTCATAACACCTCGAAGGATTGAAATTTCGATTTAATCACCAGTTCGTTTTGGTCTTCAAGAAGACCGAAACGTATCGTTCGTTTCGAAACGAAATTTTGATCCTTGCCATAGATGATATAAATCAATTATGTAAATTCACTTATGCTTATAACAATGCATAGACCACAGGAGATATTGGGCAGAACTTTTTTTGCCAAAACACGTGTATGCTGCCAGTAGTGACGCTGTTTGATAGCTCATAATTGTAGTGGCTCGCCCTTTGATGGATTTTTGTATGACACTGGTCATGGATGTCCTGCCATCTGCATGATGCAACTTATATGAGAAGTTTTGACACTTCGAGGACTAAACACTAATGTGGATCTACCAAATACTCCATAGAATGGCACAATAATCTAACTTGACCTAAGAAAAGTCCTTTATTAGAGCCAATGGCACACAATTTTTGATTTTCTATTTTTCAAAAAGATTGGGGAACTTGAACATATTAAAAGGCCAGAAAATTTGACCTGCAGGATACTAACTTCAGATAAACATGAATAAATGCTTTATTATCATTGTTCGTTGTTGTGCGGCAGCCCACAGTCCTTTGTTTAAGGCTTCCAAATGCTAGTGATTTGTGCAGAGTTGATTTGGTGTTGTTTATTAGTTTCCTTTGTAAATACTTGATATTATATAATAATAACAAAATCTCTGCATTAACTTTTTTTACATTTTAAAACATTGTGGTTATATCTACTGTTGTGACTCCAGATTGGAGTTGTAAGATTGTGATTGCTTTTTCTTTAAAGATAACAATTTTTTCTTTGGCTCTTTAGTCTGATATCTAAACTGACACTATTTCTTTAGGTTGCAAATTTTGAGTACGTTGATGAAGTGGAAGCAGGAGCTGAGGAGGAAGCACAAATAGCCTCAACAGAGCATAAAACCACGATAAACAATTCAGAAAGAGCAAGTTACTGGGAGGAGTTGTTAAAGGACAAATATGAAGTGCATAAAATTGAGGAATTGAATGCTATGGGCAAGGGGAAGAGAAGTCGCAAGCAGGTGTCTCAATTTGTTCCTGAAAAGCATATTACTTCTTGTGTCCAATTGTTTTGTTTAGATTGCTATGATTCTATAATTAGTTTTCATTAAAGCGTTTATGTATTTTTAAGTACCTCTGCCTATTTATGCGACTTGGATTGCTAGAACTGTTTTTGGATATATGTTAGAATATACAAGCTCAAGTAGTATAGGTGAACCTAAGAAAACTGGATTTGCTTTGAGGGAACTAAAGAAAAATAGCCTGGGCCTTGACAAATGGTTGCCTATGGTTTATTTTGAAGGGGGCTAAGGTTACAAATTTCTTTTAAGTTTAGGGATCAACACCATACAAGGAATGTGGATACTTCATAAATGATGAGGGGATAAAACTAGTTTGTTTAGAAGTTATCAGTCTGCAATTCTTGTAGAATAATTACTGAAAATTATAGAGATATAAACTTTTTTTATGGGGTCGGCTACATAAACTCTCAATTTTATTTTTCTGGTTTTATCAGACATCCACTTTGACACCCACATGTCTATCACAATTTTGTTTTCAATTGAAACTGAACCGAATCAGTGATTGAAATCGAAATTCTTATGTTTTGAGATATTTCAAAATGTTTCGATGCATTTTGTGATGTTTTGGTATGATCCAACCAATGCTTCGAAAACATTTTTTCAATATTTTTCCTAATTTCCCCTTTTCTGGACTGACCAAATCTATGTATTAAAACGAAATTTTGATCCTTGATTAAAAGCTCAACTAACATTATTCTATCTCGCGTTCTAGGAACAATTACTTCTTGTTTAAGATTTTGATCTACTATTACTCCAACCTCATTTCTTTATCTCTATCATAACATGTGTTTCCTATCTTGCTGCATTGGCTTTTCTCTTTTACTTGTAAGTGTTTCTCTATTCTAAGTTGTTAGCCTAACTTTATTATCTAGGACTAGCTATTTTATTTGCGTTATTTTAGAGTGACTTGGGAAATCTTGCACAATGTGCTATTTTATTTGCGTTTTTTCAGAGTGACTTGGGAAATCTTGCACAATGTTTACCACATGAGAGTGACTAAAATGCGGTGTCCATTACCTATTTTTTGAAGCTTCAGGGCACTGGTGCAATTGCTAAAACTGGGGGAATCTCTATATTTTGTGGATATATTGTTAGGAATCATGTTCACACTTTACACTGTTTTGTTTATGTTAGTTGTTTCTGGGGCATTGGGTTTATTTTGTAAATAAAGATTTTGTTTCATAATATAGTGTTCTTGTCCCCTTCTGTGAACATGATTATAGTGCAACCACTTAATTGATTTTAACTGTTTTTCATAACTTTTTTTTTTTTTTTGGTCAGATCTTGTCCCACTTAAATATAATAAAGCCTCTCCACTTATAGCTAATTTCATAACTTTTTTTTTTTGGGTCAGATCTTGTCCCACTTCCATATAATAAAGCCTCTTCACTTATAGCTAATTGATTTTGAGTGGTACACTTTAGCATGACACCAGAGTTGGGCTTTGTGAAGTTTAAAGGATTAACATAATATTAGAGACAACATTTAGAGAGAAACGGAGAGAGGTTAAAAACTTAACCTAACTCTCATACATCACTTGTATTTATAGTTAACTTATAATAATAAGAAAGACAAATACACCCTCTTATATTTACAGATAATACCCTAACACTCTTAACAATTTACACATAATACCCTAATACTCTTAACACTTCCCCTTAAGCTGGACTATATATATCATATAATCCAAGCTTGGAACAAATTCCTGTAAGACGTGTACGACTCAATGCTTTAGTAAACATATTTGTAAGTTGATCTTCAGATTTCACAAATGGAGTTGTAATCTCCCCAGGTACTATCTTGTCCCGAATGAAGTGACAATCAACTTCAATATGTTTGGTTCTCTTGTGAAACACTGGATTGACAACGATATGAATAGCTACCTGGTTGTTACAGAACAACTGTAAAAGAGGTTGAACTGAAAATCTAATTTTCTGGAGAAAGTGTAGTAGTCAAGTTAACTCACTTGTCGTATGTGACATTGCCCTATACTCAGTCTCAGTATTGGATCTTGCTATCACGGATTGTTTCTTACTTTTCTATGAGACGTTACCTCCTAAGTAATCACAATAACCAATAGTTGATCTTCGATCAGAAGGAGAGCGAGCCCAATCAGCATCTAAGAAACCTTCCACTCTAAGATGTCCATTAGTTCGATAGAATAGTCCAAGTCCAGGAGCATGTTTGAGATATCGCAGAATACGAGTAACTGCCTCCTAATGTGGTATTCTAGGACATCTCATAAATTGACTAACTATTTTGACTGCATAATAAATATTCGGTCGAGTAATAGTGAGATAATTGAGCTTCCTAATTAATCTGCGATACTAACTCGGATTCTCAAACAGTGCACCATCATCCATCAAAAGTTTTTGATTCGGATCGATAGGAACATCAATCGGTCTGCCTCCCAACAAACTTGCTTCCTCTACCATGTCAAGTACATATTTCCTCTGGGATAAATAAATACCCTATTTAGATCGAGTCACCTTAATACCCAAGAAATACCTGAGTTGTCCCAAATCCTTAGTATAGAATCGATCTTGCAAGAAGATTTTTAAACTGAAAATCCCCTCAGAATCATTGCCAGTAATCACAATATCATCGACATGGACCACCAATAAAACATATCTAGTATCCGTCTGTTTATGAAACACAGAATGGTGTGTCTAACATCGAAGAAGACTAAACTCTAAAATTGCATCTAAAAACTTACCAAACTATGCCCTCAGTGACTGCTTCAAACTATACAAAGAGTTCTTTAACCGACATACACTCTTACCATACTCTTCCTGAGCAGTAAACCCAAGTGATTGTTCCATGTATACCTCTTCAACCAAGTCACCATGTAGAAAGACATTCTTGACATCTAACTGAAACAAAGGCCAATCAAGATTAGCAGCNATAATAATAAGAAAGACAAATACACCCTCTTATATTTACAGATAATACCCTAACACTCTTAACAATTTACACATAATACCCTAATACTCTTAACACTTCCCCTTAAGCTGGACTATATATATCATATAATCCAAGCTTGGAACAAATTCCTGTAAGACGTGTACGACTCAATGCTTTAGTAAACATATTTGTAAGTTGATCTTCAGATTTCACAAATGGAGTTGTAATCTCCCCAGGTACTATCTTGTCCCGAATGAAGTGACAATCAACTTCAATATGTTTGGTTCTCTTGTGAAACACTGGATTGACAACGATATGAATAGCTACCTGGTTGTTACAGAACAACTGTAAAAGAGGTTGAACTGAAAATCTAATTTTCTGGAGAAAGTGTAGTAGTCAAGTTAACTCACTTGTCGTATGTGACATTGCCCTATACTCAGTCTCAGTATTGGATCTTGCTATCACGGATTGTTTCTTACTTTTCTATGAGACGTTACCTCCTAAGTAATCACAATAACCAATAGTTGATCTTCGATCAGAAGGAGAGCGAGCCCAATCAGCATCTAAGAAACCTTCCACTCTAAGATGTCCATTAGTTCGATAGAATAGTCCAAGTCCAGGAGCATGTTTGAGATATCGCAGAATACGAGTAACTGCCTCCTAATGTGGTATTCTAGGACATCTCATAAATTGACTAACTATTTTGACTGCATAATAAATATTCGGTCGAGTAATAGTGAGATAATTGAGCTTCCTAATTAATCTGCGATACTAACTCGGATTCTCAAACAGTGCACCATCATCCATCAAAAGTTTTTGATTCGGATCGATAGGAACATCAATCGGTCTGCCTCCCAACAAACTTGCTTCCTCTACCATGTCAAGTACATATTTCCTCTGGGATAAATAAATACCCTATTTAGATCGAGTCACCTTAATACCCAAGAAATACCTGAGTTGTCCCAAATCCTTAGTATAGAATCGATCTTGCAAGAAGATTTTTAAACTGAAAATCCCCTCAGAATCATTGCCAGTAATCACAATATCATCGACATGGACCACCAATAAAACATATCTAGTATCCGTCTGTTTATGAAACACAGAATGGTGTGTCTAACATCGAAGAAGACTAAACTCTAAAATTGCATCTAAAAACTTACCAAACTATGCCCTCAGTGACTGCTTCAAACTATACAAAGAGTTCTTTAACCGACATACACTCTTACCATACTCTTCCTGAGCAGTAAACCCAAGTGATTGTTCCATGTATACCTCTTCAACCAAGTCACCATGTAGAAAGACATTCTTGACATCTAACTGAAACAAAGGCCAATCAAGATTAGCAGCCAAAAAAATCAAGATACGAACAGAGAAAATTTTGGCAACAGAAGAGAAAGTTTCCTCATAATCAACACTATAGGTCTGAGTAAAGTCCTTTGCAACAAGCTGGGCTTTAAGACGCTCCACATAGAACCATTCAGATGAAATTTAACAGTATACACCCAACGACAACCAACAGTTCGTTTACCAGGAGGTAAAGAAACGAGATCTCAAGTCCCATTATGATGTAAGACATTCATCTCCTCCTTCATAGCTTTCTTTCAACCCGGATTAGATATCGCATCTTGTAAATGCTTAAAAATAGATATTGTAGATAATTGAAAGGTAAAATAAGAGAAGACAGGAGACAAGGCATCATATGAAACAAAATGAGCAATGGGATGATAAGTAACATACGAACAAGTACTTTTTCTAAGAGCAATAGGTAAAGAGTCTAAATTACCTAATATACTAGATCAGAAGATGATAAGGAAGACGGTACGAGCACCTCAATCAATGGGCGAGGACAACAAGAGTATACACGAAGAGGTAAAGTAGATGGTAACACAGTGGGCAATAGAATATCTGAAGATGAGGGAAGAGATGATGGTACAAGAAATGACTCAAAGTCCAGATCCAAGTGCTGAGAAGGTGCTGAAAAATATGAAACAGATTCCTCAAACGTGACATCGGCACTAGTAAAGTGTCGGTGCAGAGAAGGATTGCAGCAATGATACCCCTTCTGCGTGCGGGAGTAACCAAAAAATACACAATTAGTAGCTCGAGGATCAAGTTTATGAAACCCAGGATCCAAATTTTGAACATAATAGACACATCCAAAAATCTTAGGAGGTAAGAAAAATAAGGACTTATCAAGAAAAAGGACAGAATATGGACTTTGCCCATTTAACAAAGAGGATGATATATGATTAATAAGGTGATAAGCAATAAGAACAACAACACTCCAACAAATGACAATTCTTGCGTTTAACAACATCATTCTTAGAAGAAGTGAAAGCACAGGAAGTCCGATGAATAATGCCAGTTTTAATAAGATAAGCTGAAAGAGGATTAGATTTATATTCTCGAGCATTATTGGAACGTAAAATACGTATACGACAATCATACTGAGTTTTTATTTCCTTACGAAAGGTTTCAAATATAGAGAATAATTCAGATCGAGCTTTTATCAGAAATAACCAAGTCACACGAGAATAGTTATCCACAAATGACACAAAATACGGATATTTATTAGATGAAATATTTTTTATTGGACCTCATACATCAGAATGTACTAATTCAAATGGACTAGACACACAACTATTAACTCTAGACTGAAATGACACACAGTGATGTTTACTAAGTTAACAAGCTTCACAAGACAAAAACGATATATAATTAAGACTGGGAACTTGGCGCTTCAGATTTTGAAGAGAGGGATGTCTAAGATGACAATGCCATTGAAAAGGAGACAACAAGGTCTGTAGAGCCCGAGTAAGTGAATCAAAATCAAGGTAATATAGGCCACCAGCTTCATGCCCTGTACCAATCTTCCTCGTCGTCTTGAGATCCTGAAAAAGACACAATAAGAGGGATAAAAGGTTACAGAGCAATTGAGAGAACGGGTAATCTTGCTAATGGAAAGTAAACTAAAAAGAAACTGGGGAACAAATAACACGGAAGATAGGGACATATCAAGACTCAAGTGAGTAGTTTTCAGATCTGAAACTTTAGAACAAGTACCATTAGCAAGAGTAGCACTATATGTGGAAGTAGCAGACTGATAAGTAGAAAAAATATCAGACGCACCAGTCATGTGGTCAGAAGCACCAGAGTCTATAATTCAAGGACTGCGAGCAGAGGACAATAAATAAGTGAAAACACTACTTGACTGGGTAATAGTAGCAGTGGAAGGAGATGGAATAGCTTGTTGCTAGGACAGGAACTGATCATACTCCTCTTGTGTAATAGTAACTGACCTAATGTTTGGTGGAGCTGACCGAGGTATGGAAGCAACAACAGAAGTGTCATCCTGATAGGAAGCCTAATTCGTAGCACCAGAAGGTTTTTCATATAAATTCCAACAGAAATTAACATTGTGCCCTCCACAACCACAGTGAGTACAGGAACGAGGTCCACTATAGCCCCCACGACTACCCGTATGACCTCCTGTACGACCTCTTCGACCACCACGACCACCCCGATGACCATCACTATGGCTACTAGGAACCACAAGAGCTGAGCGATCAGTGGAGACACCATGATCGATGCCTGCGATAGACAAAGTAGCATGTTGTACATGAGAGAAAACCTCAAGTAGTGAGGGAAGACTAGAACCACCCAAAATCTGAGAACGAATAACCTCATATTCAGGTTTCAATCCTACCAAAAAACTAACAATATTCATGTCCTCATATTGTTTTTGTCAAACTGCTGCATCAGTAGTAAACGGATGGTAGGTCTTCATCTCCTCATAAATTCCTTGAACGTGAGAATAATAATCTTCAATGCTCAGAGTACTCTGTTCCAGTCGGAAGTACTCCTTGCACACCTTATAACCTTGGGTAAAATCACCTGTACCAGAATACATAGTGGCCAAGTGATCCCATATCTCCTTGACAGTGTCAAGGTAGGGCAGAGTAAAACTAATATTAGGTTCAATGCTATTCAATAGTAAAGAAATAATTTGAGCTTCTTCTTGTTCCCACTGATCATACCCAGGAGTATCTTCCTTGGATTTAAGATTTACCAAATAATTCTTAAATCTTTTGCCTTAAAGAAAGACTTGAACAGATCGGGACCATAAAGTATAATTGATGCCATTTAGTTTAACAGAGGTCATGAGACCATTGATAAGAGTCAGAGGAGGCAAAGATAGAGTAAGAGACCTAGTATCTTGCTTGGGTTTTATAACAATGCAGCAAATAGCAAACCAAGAAGCTGCTGCAATATTGGATCGAGGGAAAGAAAGTTGCTGGAAGACTGAACTGGAGGAAAGGAAGCTGCTGAAAAATTGGGCTGGCCCACTAAACTGGACTAGCTAGGCTCTCTGGACTGCTGAACTGGACCGGATGGACTTGCTGGAAGACAAAATCGGGCTAGAAAACTGGACTAGACCACTAAACCGGACCGGCTAGGCTCTTTGGACTGTTGAACCGATCTGAAGATGAACCGGGATTGATCCGGTCTAAGCTGGACCGTGGGCTGGATCGGGATTGGACTTAAAACAATTTAAGTATGGGCTTGACCTGATCTAATCCAAACCCGACTCCACGGGTTGGATCCTTCCTCTTTCGCTGATTAGGGTTCCAACAAAACCCTCTAGTCTTCAACAACGCCACACACCACACGACGAAAACAACAGCACACCACCGACCCTCTGGTCTTCGACGGTGCCACACACCACGACGAAGACAACAGCACACCACCACACACCACCACCACGAACGACTCTACTCGACAATAAACTGAGACCACACCAACAGAGACCACCACAACAACAGAACCACCACACCACCACCACGAACGATGCAAGTGGATGGTGAACAAAGACCACACCACCACAGCAGTTTTAATATATTTAGGATCGTAATTGCTCTGTACTATGTTAAGTTTGAAGGATTAACATAAAATTAGAGACAATATTTAGAGAGAAACAGAGAGGTTAAAAACTTAACCTAACTCTCATATATCACTTGTATTTCTAGTTAACTTACAATAATAAGAAACACAAATACACCCTTTTATATTTATACATAATGCCCTAACACTCTTAACAATTTATACATAATACCCTAATACTCTTAACAGGCGTCATGAAGCTTCAGACAAGACTGTGTTTAGTTTCATTGATTTGGTTTTGGTTTCCCTATGTTTGTATCATAATCCCACTTTGTCATGTGTTTGAATTTGTCTTCTGATTGTTTTATCTATCTATCCATGTGTTTCCTAAACTAGTACATGAGCCTTGTGAACTTATTCACTAATTATCAATTAGTTTTGAGGTGGACGTTTTGAGAGTTTTTACTATATTAGGGTAATCAGAGTGGTACTTGAGAATTTGTAGAGGTATTTTAGGGGGCTAGTTGCTCTGTTATATGCATGTTATGGTATTTGCAATAGCAGATGGAAAGTAGTCCTCAAGGGTTAAAGGATTTTGTTTAGAAAGGAATAACTGGTTACTCAGATGCAAAAAGTAAAGCTTTTAATAAAATTAAGTTGTATGCAACCAACAATTGATGATAAATTTTTTTAATGAGATTGTGGATGCCCCTAATGTGGAACACATATGAGATGCATTGCACTTTGTTATAAAGGTGTGGAGAGAGCATAGGCGGACAAAATGCAAACATTGCAGAGAAAATTTGAACTTCATATGGAGACCATTGAAGATTGCATTTCGCACTTAGGAACTCTTAATCAGGTGAAAGGAAATAGGGAACTTGTGCTAGAGATATGGCCTTATAGGTACATGAAAAATATTCTATAGACTTTGACAGTGCAATTGGAGCATGTAGAGACATTAATAATGGAGTTGAGAGACTTGGAAACCATTACCATTGACTTAATTAGTACAATGCGTTCTTTCTAAGTGCTTGAACATCAATTGAATGAGAAGTCAGAGAAGAGTACAATGAAAGATGATTTTCAAAACCAGTTGATTTTGAAAAATGAAAAAAAAAAATGGGCCATAGAGCTATGCTGGTCAATGCTATTCCAATAGAGGTCAAGACTATAGCAATAGAGGAAGAGGTAGGAGTAATTTAGGTTTAGGAAGAAGAAGAGGCTATAATTGATATTACAGAATGGGTCAAGGAAGAGGTGAGGTAGTGATTCTAACAGAAGACTGAAAAATGTAATGTCCAATGTTTTAATAGTGGAAAGAATTGGTCATAGGAAATTGATTGTAAATCAAGAAGACTACATAGTAGGGACCATAAGGCTAATGCTGCTGAAAATTATTATTTTGCTTTTACGTATAGTATTGTACGTGGTTTTTAGATTCGTGGTTGCTATTGTATGTGGTCAAAAAGAGATAGTTTCTTAATTAGATCTATCAATCTAGATAGAGAGAGAGAATTCGGAATGATACAAAAGTATCCGAGATGGGAACAGTAAGACTGAATTGAATCGAGTATGGGACAGCTCTCACTAACATATGAAACAACAAAATTCAAATGTGGAGTTTGTGGTATATCTTTATGGCCGGAGAGGATTCATTGCGTATGTTAGAATGATAACATAACTGTTATTTCATAAAACATTAATTGTGAGGAATTATCATAATTTAATTTTGTGATTAGTGATTATAACTATTTATGGCTCACTCACTGTTGATTTCCAAGCTTCGATAGTCTGAATTTGTGGGCTCCAAAAGGTTGGTTTCTGTTTTCACTTCAACTTGATGACTTGGGTATGTTTTTTAAAGAAAAATTTGTAGCTTGCTATATTTTAAAATTGTTAAGGTCTTTTATAGAAAGTCCAAAGTGGCTACCAAATAAAAATTTTGAGAATCGGTTGGGGTTGATAATATTTTGATTGTGATGATTTTTTGGGGTAAACGTGGAATTCAACATTAGGTGACATCAAGATACTGATCCTAAAAAAAAAAAAAAGTGATGGAAAGGGGATATATATTTGTTGTGGAATGGGTAAGATTGATAGTGAAATTTAAATTTGTCGAACGGCTTTTGGGCAAAAGCTGTTTCTTTTATTGTTTATGAGTTAAACAGGTGTTCTACTTGGAGTTGAGGATTAAAATTTCATTTCGGTGTATTGCTTCGGTCATCTAGAAAACGAAAATGTTTCGATTTGTTTCGAAAACGTTTAAGCCTATTTCTGAAGCATAATGAGAAAAATAAAAAATTGAAGAACTATTTTTTCAAAATATTGGTTGAAATATATCAAAGTATCTTTAAATACCTTGAAATATTCTGAAACAATTGTGCAATTGTATTGAAATATTACAAAACATCTTGAAACATTATGAAATACTTCGAAATATTAGAATTTTAATTTTATCACTGATTCGTTTCAATTTTCTCGAAAACAGAAACGTTTTGGACTATTCAACCGTTTCAAAACGAAATTTTGATTCTTGCTTGGAGCGATTGTGCTATGACCTAGAGGAAACTTGGAGTGGCCAATGACAGTATATTAGACACCTAAGAGTGTCTGGTTGTATGGGTTATGCTCATGAGCCAGACCAATTGCAAATTAAGCTTGGTGAGAAGATGACATGTGATTTTATTTGTCGTAGAGAGGTTGTACAACCTAGTGACCGTAAGGTGATTGTCAGTTCATCGTTTGGTAAGCAAGAATTTTGGGATTGGTCTTCTCAAGATAACATTTGATTAATTATTATATATATAGTGACAGACAACAAACTGAAGTCCAAAGTTTGGAACCTAAAGTAGATTTATTGACATCTCAGAAGCATTGTTATGATTTTTGAGTGCCAGCAATGGATTAAGAAATTCTTGGATTTAGGAAGCATAATACTAGGGAGTTCACTAGTATTGGAAGCGGTAAAAAGCCAGTTTCTGTTAACTGAGGGTACAAAACGTATTGTGAGTTAAATTGCTTTAAGACATGGTCGATTGCTTTACAGGTTGTGTCACATTTCCTATCACTGGATCTCTAACTCTAAAGTGGTAAATTTCAATAGCTCTAGTTCTAGAACTATCCCAGCCCAACTGAGACTTGGCATGAAGACCACATAACATGACTTAAAATAAGGCCTAGGTTAGACACATAAAATATTCTGAAAAGTACTTTTGACTACAAAATTGTGAAAGCAGAACTGAAACTACGCAGAAACATGAAATAGGCTTTATTTGACCCATAACTTGAACTCACGAGGTCCCAAGCATGATCCCATGAGTTTCCAATTTGTGCTACGGTTTTTGGCTCTCGTCAGCATACTCTTAATCATTATGTAGTCTAATTCTGGTCTTAACTTTGATACTAAGCTTGTCAGAAACATAAATTGATGTTTGGTGACTTCATGTATGTTTCAGATGGTGTCTGTTGAAGAAGATGACCTTGCTGGTTTGGAAGATGCAAGCTCTGATGGGGAGGATGATAATTATGAAGCTGAGGTGAGTGATGGTGAGACAGCTTCAACTGGAACTCCACCTGTGAGAAAGATGCACAGAAAGAGAGCCCGTGGTATACTTTGCATGCCTGCTATTATCTTAGCAAGTGGAAAAATGTGATGGCATTTGATTATAGTATCATTTTTTCTATTTTTGACAGTGGACAATGCTGAGCCACTTCCTTTGATGGAAGGCGAAGGGAGATCGTTTAGAGTACTGGGATTTAATCAGAATCAAAGAGCTGCATTTGTCCAAATTTTGATGAGGTCTGGTGTTGCAAGCATGATTTTTCACCTTAATTTATTTGGTTTATATTCCCCCGCCTCCTTATTCATCCTCCCCCCTCCCTCCCTCGCTTTTTTTTTTTTTTTNTGACCGTAAGGTGATTGTCAGTTCATCGTTTGGTAAGCAAGAATTTTGGGATTGGTCTTCTCAAGATAACATTTGATTAATTATTATATATATAGTGACAGACAACAAACTGAAGTCCAAAGTTTGGAACCTAAAGTAGATTTATTGACATCTCAGAAGCATTGTTATGATTTTTGAGTGCCAGCAATGGATTAAGAAATTCTTGGATTTAGGAAGCATAATACTAGGGAGTTCACTAGTATTGGAAGCGGTAAAAAGCCAGTTTCTGTTAACTGAGGGTACAAAACGTATTGTGAGTTAAATTGCTTTAAGACATGGTCGATTGCTTTACAGGTTGTGTCACATTTCCTATCACTGGATCTCTAACTCTAAAGTGGTAAATTTCAATAGCTCTAGTTCTAGAACTATCCCAGCCCAACTGAGACTTGGCATGAAGACCACATAACATGACTTAAAATAAGGCCTAGGTTAGACACATAAAATATTCTGAAAAGTACTTTTGACTACAAAATTGTGAAAGCAGAACTGAAACTACGCAGAAACATGAAATAGGCTTTATTTGACCCATAACTTGAACTCACGAGGTCCCAAGCATGATCCCATGAGTTTCCAATTTGTGCTACGGTTTTTGGCTCTCGTCAGCATACTCTTAATCATTATGTAGTCTAATTCTGGTCTTAACTTTGATACTAAGCTTGTCAGAAACATAAATTGATGTTTGGTGACTTCATGTATGTTTCAGATGGTGTCTGTTGAAGAAGATGACCTTGCTGGTTTGGAAGATGCAAGCTCTGATGGGGAGGATGATAATTATGAAGCTGAGGTGAGTGATGGTGAGACAGCTTCAACTGGAACTCCACCTGTGAGAAAGATGCACAGAAAGAGAGCCCGTGGTATACTTTGCATGCCTGCTATTATCTTAGCAAGTGGAAAAATGTGATGGCATTTGATTATAGTATCATTTTTTCTATTTTTGACAGTGGACAATGCTGAGCCACTTCCTTTGATGGAAGGCGAAGGGAGATCGTTTAGAGTACTGGGATTTAATCAGAATCAAAGAGCTGCATTTGTCCAAATTTTGATGAGGTCTGGTGTTGCAAGCATGATTTTTCACCTTAATTTATTTGGTTTATATTCCCCCGCCTCCTTATTCATCCTCCCCCCTCCCTCCCTCGCTTTTTTTTTTTTTTTGGGGGGGGTGGGGGTTGGGCATGCCGGGGTTAAAGCTGACATTTCAAAATTTGTGAACTGGCAATTGTATGATAGATTGTGACAGTAATTTGAATCTAAGGTTTGGCGTGATTAACTATTTCTTGTGTCAAGTTTTCCATTTTTAAATGTGTGCAACAATTTAAATTGTTCTGCAGATTTGGAGTTGGGAACTTTGATTGGGCAGAGTTTACACCGCGCTTGAAGCAGAAGACTTTTGAAGAAATTAGAGAGTACACAGATTAATTTCTTCTTTATATTTATAATCTTGAGGGCTAGGAATTTCTCATGGCTAAGTTGTTACTTTATAACTCGCGTGTTGTCTCTGCTGAGTTTTACTATGTGTGCAAATTGGTTATTGGTTAGCATGAATTGTCTTCTTGTTCTTTTGAGTTGCTAAAATAGTCATTTTCTTGGTTTAATCACATTTGCCCAGCAAATGAATTTGAGTATATCACTACTGGTAGTCATTTTTTTTTGTTTTTATCTACATTGTAAATGAACTTGAGTATATAACTACCAATCTAAAGGGGCTTGTGTGTGACTTTGTTACCTTGGTATTGACATTGTCAGCTTGTGCACTGCATTATGTATCATTTTTAGAATTGGTAAATTGTATGCATAGTTGACAACTGTGTTTTCTTTGTGCAATGTTTGCACTGTTCGTTGTTGTTTCTGAATGATGCTAAATATGAGGGAGAGGATTTGGTTAATGTTTGTGCACCAACTATGGGTTTTGCCCCATTTAGTAGGAGGTATGAGAATTGAGTCTAAGGGATAGTGGGATGGCTTGAAAAGGTTGATCTACAGAAAACTGTTTTTCCTTACATCTCTTTGGTTGAACAGAAAGAAAAAGAGAGGGTTTTCTATTTTGCATTATTGTCTTACAAGATAACATAAGGGTGTTGTTTGGAGGGCAACAATGTAGAAGAAAGGATTCTCTCTTTAATCCTCCTTTCAATCCACTGAATAGAATGGAAATGGTGCCTGGTGGGGAGCTCGTCCCATCCTTGTTTCATTTCCCTGCGTTACACCCTTACGTTTCTGAAAACTGGTAGAAACTCCCCCCCTTACTTTTTTTCCCTTCCCCTGCTCTTTGCTCCACTAAATGGAGAATTTGAACACGACTTGAGAAAATGATCGTATGAGGTGGATTGCTTTCTCAAATGAGGAAGATTGTCTTCTCAAAGAAAGAATGAAGCAAGCAAAGAGTTTAATTCAGGACCCCGTGGTCAAATGAAAAGTTATGTCTTTAGGACTAAAGTAATGCCACTTTAACCGGTCCACACTGTAGTCTCTTTTGACTTCGATATGCAACTCACTACTAGGGAGAGATGTACTCCAAGAAAAGATTATTTGGGTTGAGGCAGGAATATGGTGATATGTATTCAAGTGATCTTGAATGCTCCATCGTTTTTCCATTTCTCAACAGAAAAATTGCCATAGAATATTTGTCTTCAACCATAAATGTTTTATATAGTGACTTACTTTTAGACCACCTCAATACAAGTAAAAGACCCACATGTTTGCTTAATAGTGTACTTGTAGCCACCAGACACAGTCTGTAACCATATCATCCTAATTACTGAAGATGTTCTTAGCCTCAAAATTGCCCTGAATACTATATGGGACCCCTCAAAAATAAGTTTTGTCCTTTGCAAATGGAAGAACATCCTCCCCACACATCCTCCATCAAAAGAAAAAAACACAACAAAAAAGAATTCCTGACATTGAAAGAGGCAGAGTTCAATATGATTTGCCAACAGAGTTGAGCACATCATGTGTCACCAATGATTTTGAGATAAATCTTAAATGCTTTATTTGGTCATCCTGTACCTTCAAACCTGCAGTAGATTGTATTATCCACAATCTAGAGGCGTGTCTTGGTGTTTTTCCCCAGTTTGGGACATACATAACTTGAAGGTGAGACACTAGAACAAATCAACTTTTGGCTTTCCATTAATGAAAATTGTGAGGTTACAGATCTGCAAACATGTAACCTTCCTTGTCCACTGAAACCTAAAACATTAGTGTTAGTCATAAGATGGAGAGGTTAAGACCGTTGAAATGATCATAAGCCTTCTCAAGGTCTAGTGGCAAGAACATCACCTTTCTAATTGATCTTTTGAAGTCCCTCTTGGTTTCATTGGCAATGACCACCTAATGAATAACCTACCGATCCTTCATAAAGCTCCATAAAAGATGGTGCCAAGAAGCTTCTTAAACGTTATAGAATTAAGTTTGGCCACAATTGTCATGCATATAGGATATATAGAAAAGATAGACATCTGAGACGAACTGTTATTTGATTTTTGTACCTTATCTTGGATTCATATATGTAATTTAGCGAGACATATGACGCGAACTGGTATTTGAATTTTTGTTTTTGCAAAATTTGAGTTTTTTTTTTCGGTTGATTCGATCTGTGTCTTTGTATGCACCATATACCAAACTGCGAGTTGTCTCTAACTCCATATCTCTTCAGTCTGCCAAAGCCTTATCTAAAGGTACACATGGATTCAGACACATGCTAGTCACTGCTGATGCGGATGGCATATGATGTTATTCTGTAGTCGGACAAATAAGCAAAGGTTGTATCTTGATTTAAGATAATTAGTGATTATATCAATTAAATACCAAACTTTTTTGAGACATGTTTGAAGCATCAGCACCCTGTTAGAAAGAGTGTTTCACATTTGAGTAACTAATTTTCCTGAACTGACAAGGAAAGGAAAAGAAAAGAACAGTTGTTGATCTTCTATATATTTAAGAGAATAGTTAGTTGAGATGAGGTATATTTTAGTTCGATTGCAACTTTGAATATCCAAATTTGTTCCTTTCTGTTGGAATTTTTTTTAGTGGAACTTTATTATGGGTTGTTTGCAACAGTTTTGCTTTATTTTGCATTGAACCTTGTAATTTTTTGTCGTCCAGTTATGGAACTCTCTTTTTATCTCACATAGCTGAGGATATCACTGATTCAGCAACCTTTTCAGGTGACTATTGGTTCTCATTAGCTTTATTCTGCTAAGGTTGAGCTCTTCTTTCTGTTTTTGCTTTGGTTCTATTAAGTTTGTTTTTTGACCAATTGTCTTGGTTGCAGATGGTGTTCCAAAAGAAGGACTAAGAATACAAGATGTACTTGTTAGGATTGCTGTCTTACTTCTTGTGAGGGAGAAAGTAAGTCTAATATCCTATAATAAAACTTCTATTTTGTTAAATGTTACTTAATTTCAATTTAAAATATTTTAGCCTTGATAGTAGAAGGTGAATATGGTATTATAATTGCAACACTTAATTTTTGTTTCGCTTGGGATTTTAAGAAGCTAATTCTGGAATCATCTCAGGCCTTCAGTGTGCATGCATTATTCTTTCTTTCCCACTTATGTTTAACCTGTGTTCCAAAGGTGAAAGCTAAAGGGGATTTTTTTCTGTCTTCTAATGACTAGGTGTAGGTTGCCAGCATGGGACTTTAACCTAGTTGCTTTAAAAAGCAATGTACTTTCTATATTTCAGTTACGTTTCCAATAAAAAAAAATCTGCTTTAACAAGCGTAAGCAGAAGCTTCCTAAGTAAAACTTGAGTCACAAACTAAGTAGATAATGTGATTTTTGCAAGAATAATATAAATTCTTGTGAAATCAATATTGACACTGGTAAAATTCTAATTGTTGCAAAGAAGACATGAATAAGCACATTGGTTGGGTAAATTGTATGCTCCAGCATCTTTTAAGGAACCCGCTAAGGCAATTTCTTTTCTAACGAAGATCTATTACTATCTTAAATACATAACACTTCAGTATGAAGTCTTTGTGGAAATAAAGTTGTTCTCCAAATCCATGAACGTTGTTCTGTCTCCAAATGGAGAGCTCGACCCCTTACGGGTGAATTTCCCGATTCCTAGCGAGATTTGGTATATTTATGAATCACAATGCCTTGTGCACATAATGCCAAATCTGTGCAAATAATTTGGCTAGTGCAATGGTAGCCACACAGTGCAGTTAATGCTAAAGGGTGTCCGCACTGAATCCACCACTTCCAGCATCCTCAACAAATGGAGACAGAATTGGGTAATGATGGAGTGTCTCATGCACATGATCAGATAAACTTCACTCCTCAAGATGAACAAAAATGAATGAGTGAATTATCAGAACTGATCAAATGGTCCCTTAGAAAAAGTGTTATTTATGCTTGTGTATTGTTTTCTCCTTTTGTAGACAACCCACATGTTGAATTAATGAAAGATACTTCCACAGTGATGGGAGGGTAGCTTGTAGTTTTCTGTGCTTTTTTTTTTTTGGTGGCTAGTCTTATTGTTAAGATTGTCCTTATATTTATGTTTATATATCATTAGGGATATTATAGTATATATTGTGTCAATTGTACCTAGTTTTTTATTATTATGAAATATTAGAGAAATATAGTTCTTTTCTCTTTCTCATCTTTTATGTATGTCCTTTTCTCCTTTGTAAGTTTGATTTAAACTTTGATGGTATCAGAGTCATTTTAGATAAATCACTACTTCGTTTTTTGTTGTCATCAGTATTGTTGCTTCCGTGAAATCTTATTGCATGAACAGTGAGCAGGGAACTGTAATTGATGAAGCATGAACAGTTGTGTGAACAGTGATGCCGACAATTCGTTCTCTCCTATGCATAAACTCTTTTTTTTGTTGCTCCTAATGCCTTGTGTATTCATCATTCTGATGATAGTTGCCCTTGCCATCCCAAATTGCCGCCGATCAATTGATAATTGAGAGCAGTTGCAGCTAAGAGTTTTCTTTGTTGGTCAAAGAAGATTGATTTGTGGCTTCTGTCCTTTTTTTTTTCCTTTGTTATTAAAATTTCTGAAATTGCATTGAAGGCCCCATAGTATTCAGAAAAGTTCAGCTCTAGAGTTTTCTGAAATTACCGAATCAGCCCCAAAATTTTCTGAAATTCTAGAATAGCCCTAAATTTTTAGAAAATTTTCAAACAAGGCCCAGATTTTTCAACATTATGGCAAGTGGGAATTCTGTTTTTACCCCATCTGTAGATGATTAGGCCCAGTGTTTTGAAAAGCTCGCCTAGGCGCTCGCCTAGGCGAGAAGCGAGGCGAGGCGAGCTTATCTCGCCTGGAGGACCCCAGGCGAAGCGAACGTGAGTGAAGCGAGAAAAAAGCGAGAAAAAGCGAAAAAGCGAAGAAGCGAAAAAAGCGAAAAAGCGAACGCTTTATTATAAAAAGCGATTCTGCTTCAATTTTTTTTTTTTTTTTTT